CCAAGGTTTAATGAGCATTTCGTCGTTTTAGCACAGACAAATAGACATTCTGGATCATCATTCACGCATTTAACGACTTGACATAAAGTAACCAACAATCAGTCTGCATCGAGCTTACTTGCCGTGCGGATCTATTTGCTTTTTGCTGAAGGAAGTGTTAGAGCTAAAGTTACAACAAATCTAAGTGCTAAATATTACCTGCAAATGTGATACCTTGTTCATCTCTTATTTCTCTTCGATCCTTGTTTGAACCCTACCCGAGGTAATCCTGCTTGGACATCGACTTGGAAAATTTCTCTTCGATCCTTCGCATTCTTATAGAAATCTACTTGGAAAACGATTTGAAGAAACTTTCTTCTACCACCCCTAAACGGGGCCTAAACGCAAAAGAAAAGGGCAATCTTGATCCCCCTTCTTATGAAATCAATTTGATTTGCTCACAGATGATGAGAATAATCCATCATCCAGGCAACATTCCACTAATTTTTCCCGGCTTAATGCTACGAATGAAAAGGTCCCCTTTATTGTGATAACCACTTCCGATTTCCATGCTCGTCGCACGGAACTTTTGAACTTCGTTAAATTGAAGTTTTCACTTCAAATTGGCCGTCGGGGTGAATTGGTTCTTCTCAAGTATCTTACTGAGAAGCAACACACATTTGTTACTTACCACACCAACACAGAACGTCTGTTCAAGGTTGTCTTGAAAGGTCTGCCCAGCTAAAACTAGCAAAATTAATTTAAGTTGAGCCAGTCCAAGTAATCAAAATGAAAATGAAATCCCGTCCTGGCGATTCGCGCAATGAGATTTATAATGATTTTTATTTAGTTCACTTCAAGTGAACTAAACAACCTTAGCCTTAGAAAAAGCTAGCATTATGCTCCACATAGAAAAAAAAGTAAGAGGTTGTAGCCAAGACACGACCGTAGATTTGACGTAGGATTACGTTCTCGGCGACTGTGTTAGGGAAAAAACCACCTTTTCCTAGCACTGAAACGCCTTGTTTTCTGATGACAAAATTACCTATTTTCGTGCACAAAACAAACGGAATTTTGAGTTTATTCAAAAGATAATAAAAAAAAAAACAAAATTTTATTGGAGGAATACCTTGCTGAAATGGGGTCGTCCATTAATTATGTCACACATTTAGGGGGGAGGAGGGTTTTGAAAACTGTGACGAGCCATACATAAAAAATTAAGGTCCATACAAAAAATGTGACAAAGGGGGGGGGGGTTGAAAATGGGCCAAATTTGCGTTACATAATTAATGGACCATTCCAATTTTCCAATCGCGAAATATTCACGATCAATGATATAAATTCAAGATTTCTTTCTTTTCTCTAGCGGAGAAAACCTTACCATAATTCGAAGTGTTTCTGGTTAACTGACAAGGTCATGTGGTATTCTGGCATTGCGAGAATTTTAATGTACCACTCGAATACTGTTACGCATTTGACCTCAAACGTTTGGTTGCTGGGTACATTATCAAATAGCTTTGGGGGTGATGTGGCTGGTAGCAAGGCGAGCGACATTCAATGAAAATTAACTCTTAAGCGACAATAATTTATGGTGGTCTTGGAAAAAAAAACGTTTTGTCGTGATGGTTGAGTAATGCTGAGCTATATTAGAGTGGTCAACACGGATGAGGCTGACGAGCTGTATGTTTTTTTGGAACGACGGCGACGCGCTTGGCATAGATGGCCCACAGCGACTTACGAAGAGCTACTCAATTCGATCAGTAGCGGTGTGGCTTCTTCCTCCTTCCTCGTTTAATCTTGAAGGCAGCCTTGATAGCTAGCTGCTTGCTCCCCTTCCGTTGTGTGCTGGAGAAAAAGTACAACGCCACACGCCGAAAGCACTGCTGCTGCTGCTGATGATGATGACAACCGGGTTGAATAAACATCGTTCGGCGAGACCGGATGGAATTCGATGTTGAAGTCTGTGATAGGGAAAGTGCTTTTTGCAACAGTTGGACATTTGTGTAATTTTCAATAGTGACCTATTGAAAATTGATAAATTGTTCATTTTAGCAGATTTTTAGAAAAATTTCCAATTGATTTACTTGTTTAGAATTAAAATCTACCCACTATTGACAGAGTTATAAGTGGTCAAAACCTGACCACTTTTCGTAACGTGGTCAAATTTGGTTTTTTGAAATTGTACCCCCAATATGTTCCCGAAAGACGTAATCCTACGTCAAAAGTCCTTGATGACCGCATCCCAGACGTTGGAGGCTTCCAAGTAGGTCTTCATGCGAATCTGCCAGGTGCCATAGTTTTGACCAGCAAACTGTGGAATTCTATGGCTTGGAACATCCTTTTGTGAGTCGCTCATAACCTGTGGAGGTTTCTTCTACTACACAGCAAAAAATTAATTTTGATATCACATCAAAGTGGATGCACTACAATCATGTCGAAAATTTCATGTAATTTTTATGACCACATAAATAAACAAATGCAGTAAGAGCAGCGTAATGTCAGTTCATGCATTTTATTAATGATAATTTTGTCCTTTTTAGCAAGTAATATTACACCATATTTTCGACATGATTGTAGTGCATCCACTTTGACGTGATATCAAAAAAAATTTTTTGCTGTGTACGCAGTGGAACAAGTTTATTAAATAGGTCTATTCAGCTTGATGGATTGACAGGGAATGAATAAAATTATAGTTCATAGGCTACTATGATAGCTGGCTTCATCAAATGATTGCTTTGTTTCTCACAGTTTTTTAAAACTTGTGTCCCTTCGACCCCTATTGGCATCTGTCGTTTGCGGAGCGTGTTTAATCAAAGCACGCGAACACGTGTGCAAAATTTACGAGGTGGTTCGTGTCTGATATTTTCAAGACAAAATATTCTTATCTAGATTAATAAATCCAATGATTTTGACGAATCGGGCCGCTGCACTTTTGAATCGACCGTTATAGATTTTGAGCAACAGTTGAATTTAAGTTTCATTTCGGTTTGTCGGTGTCAGAATGGTACTTTTTTGGACGAAAATCGTAGCGCTCAACCCACGCATGCCAGAGGTTCGGCAAAGTAGTTCAAGTGGATAAGGGCTTTCTATTAACATCAAGGGCACTCTATCCCTGTCAACCACGTATAGATGCACCGTAGTTCACATGATTTTGAAATTTTTGGGCAATCTGAAATCTTTGGGCAAACTGACATCGGTAAAACCCTAAGAGGAAGAGGTGACAATACTGGGGCAAAAACGAACCACTTTTCTGTCAAACGTGAACCAGCTCGTGATTGGCCGATTTGAAGTGCGTAAGATAGAGATAGAGATAGATATAGATAGAGATAAAATAGTATGAAGAAGCTAGTTGTCTCCTCTTCCTCTTAGGTAAAACCGACAGGTAGGCCTTAGATAGGACCAAGGGGACTACATATAGGTGTTCTGTTCTAATGTGTCAAATTCATGATTCAGCCAAGTTGGATTTTTGTATGGGACAGCGACCGAGTTTGTTTACAATTTGCTCTAAAACCGAACTCCCCCCCCCCCCCCCGCGACCTCCTCGCCTACATAGTGACAAAGCTGTATCACCATGTATATACCCACCATGGGTAGGACTTAGGTATGACAGAACAATACATCTTACTCTTTCATCGCAGTGCTGAATGCTTGAAAGAGTAGCCTGATGCAGTCATCCTAACCCCTATATTCATCACATTGATGTGAGAAATTCTTGATTGTTGCCGCCGTGATTGACATACTTCGTTTAGTTCCTGATTACACCGTTCAGATGGCGCTACAACTATCTTTTTACAGTGGCTTCCTAGCAAAAAACTTTCTTCGACTTTCTTCAGCCTACTGTGGATGAGATATATTAAAAGGTCGATCAAATCCGCGGAAACACCCCTCTATATCAATTGTTTACGTCTTAAACACAGAAAATGCTCACTCAAACGGTGTCTCGAGAAATTGTTGGAGTTGTATGAACATTGCTAGCGTAATACCTATTTTATTCGATGATTTTATTACGCATTTGGTAAATACAATTTAAAAATCATACAAATTTCTGTGAATCATAGATCAAATTTTTTCCGCTTGACTCTTGTTGTGAAATACAGAAGAGATGGGACTTAAAATATTTCCATTTAAGTTAGTCATAGTTATGTTATCATAAATATATAAATACAAAAACTACCTAAATTAATTCTTCCCAGTGAACTTTAATGCAAAAATTTCCAACCACACGCAAAATACCAACCAACATATTATCACTGACTGCCGAATCTCGAACCTAACAACTCATACAGAATCTACTTGGACCTAAAACGAGAAGAAGCGATAGCAGAAATGTACACAAAACCAGTCATATGAATCAATTGTTCACACCCATTTACGACGTGTTAGGAAGGCTCTTGACACTTCTAAGGGCCCACCACTGACACCAACATCGATCCATCATTATCATATTATCAGCGCCGGACACTTCATCCCGTATATTTATGCGCCACAGCCTGAATCGAAAGCGCAAAATGCAAACAAATTCACACGCAGCGTGACACAGAAAGACTCAGAACAACGCTCATCATCTCCGGTTCTCGGGCGGAGTGTGTGAGCGCGAGCAAGCGCGCGGAAACAAATAGAGCAACCCATGTGGATCATCATTTCAGTTACGTCGCGACCCAGACGGACTTTAGAACAAAGAACTAGGCTGGTGGTATTTATTGACTAAGCAGGCCCATTTGCATGCAATCTGCACTTGAGTCAACTCGCCGAAGCCTACTCCGATGAGGGAGGTGTCGAGTTACTGAGAAACCGAACAGCAAAACGTAACGGCTCAAGCGGCCCATTTATTCACGGACCAGGTGAGTGTGTAACTCCGCTCGGTGTAAGGGAAAGGTGGGGGCGCACACGCACCGGCCAGGGGCGGGGGAAGTTGTAAAAGTACTACATACTTCTCAATTTTGTTTGCTGGGTGGTCGACTGCCGATTTGCGGGATCTCAGCTCAGTTCAGTTCCAGCTTTCGTTCGGTAAGGGTGTGCTTCGGTATCCACTCGCGTCAGTCAGTCAGTTGAAAGAGTGTTGGGGTTAGTGAATCAGCTGTGGGGGGATATAATATTACCACTACAAGCGACGGCGAACGGGCGGTAGAGCAAAACAGTATCCAAACGTCGAGAGATGGGTGGATTGTGTTGTGAGAGATATACGTGAAGCGATTGTGATAAGGTACTTCAAGTGACGTTTCGCTGGCTGGAAAATACGCAAACATTGGTGTGTGAAGCGTCGGTGCTTTGTGATAGTTCGGTTCCCCATATGCCTTGAAAATATGCATTGAAAACATACGGCCAATGCTGTGATTAGTTAGCGAAATTTGCAGTGTAAATATCGAAGAGATATCGCGGTAAACAAAGGCCCGAGTGTCGATGTGAAATGAGTCAGTATTGAAATCGTCGATCTCAGCGAATCAAAGCAGTCAGCGACCAGGAATCTGCAACCGTAGCAATTCCGGAATTCAGCGCTACATCACGAGCTACTAGGATCGGATCGACGCGCAATTACCTCGGAAGTGTGGGATAAAAACATGTACACGTGTCAGTCATCGGATCAGCGGAGGCAATAGTTCATGCAAAACGGTAAGCACCAAGATGGGAAGGTTGCCAAAACGGCCGAATAGGAAACTGGTTTCTGCTGTGTGAGCGCTATGATGCGAATTCTGGGAAAACCATACAATGCGATTGACAGCGGTTGTGTGAACATTTGGGGGATTCCCTCTTAAATTTGACGCTTCGAAAGTACATTAAAACGTTCGAAATCCCTCTGTAGTTGATCTTCGGATTTTTGAGAAGATTTTTGTCAAAATTGATTACTGGTCAGTCAGAAATAAGTTTGGTACAATAGCAGGTTTATTTGAAAATTTTCCATCTTTCAAATTTAAGTGAAAATTCACTAAATAGAGCACGGCCTTAGCACACAATTAATATTGCCTTCGGTGGTTCGTCCAGTTTCTGTACGCCTGTGGAAATTATGAGATCAATCAAGTTCGAAGCACGAAGCAAGAAATGAAATTATGCAATTATAAAAGGGAATGAAAGTAAAAGGAACTTAGCTACATAACAGTGTACAAGCGAACCACGAAATAGGTGAGCCCAACGCATGGCCTGCTACTTCGTGATTTAATGTTTTATAAAACCTGTTTCACCCCAACTCTCCTTTAGCTAACCGGCATTTGTATATTGAACCGGCGAAAACAAGTATCGACTCGGACCGAAGAATAATCTTAAAGTAGGAATCTGGATTTGTAGTTTTAAATTTGAATTTAAAAACCGTCAAACAAAGTTCCCACACTACGCAATATTGTTATACAGTAGATTTAGCTGTTACTTTTTGATGTTTATCAAATCCGACTGCATTGACTGCTGGCATCAAGTTACAGAAGGAAGCTCATAAGAGTAGAGGCTCTCAAGCTTTCTGTGACTGTGATTCAGTTTGAATAGTATTAGAATTCAGTAGGAAACAATCATCAAAGTGTTATGATCAGAGTTGGGAAAATATCAAAAAATCAAATCTCACCAACGCCCAAGATCACGCTTGATTTTCGTAGACAAAAATCAACAAGCAAACAACTGCGGTCGATTTTGCAAGCTGTGATATCGCAGCTCGGAATATCAAGCTAACAAAACTCAACAACTTCAAATCTCACCAAACTGTGGTGAGATTGAGTTTAATGATTTTTGCTTTACACCCGAATGCAACCGAAACTTCCATAACGGCTTGCAGCAGTCCCTTCGCGTCTAACATCAGTGAAGATTAAAAAGAGATAGCAAACTATGCAATAGAATCATTTTTGTGTCGAGTCAACTCTCAGCTTAATTTTTTCACGTTGTGAATAGTCTCGCAATATCAAAGGAGCTTGTAAAATCAACATCAAGCAAGATATTTTGTTCCAATATCACGCGTGGTATTGCGAGCGCATGAGAGCGGAAAAATATCAATTGATTTCTGACTTTGCCAACACTGGCTATGATGAAATCATTTTGAACATAAGTTTAATTCCAATTTGACCCCAGACCACTTCAGTTCTATTTAAATTAAGTATTACAAACATTGCAAATCATTTTGTGCTGATGTGTCGAAAATCGAATATATTTATAATAATTAGAAATCATAAAATAAGGATTTTCGAATTTCCAAATATGCCTGCTTAAACATTAATAACAAAGAATAGGTAAATATTTTCTTTAATTGGTAAAAAATCACCTTCTTAAAAATGAAGCCCATACGGGGTCTTCGCTAAGCTTGTATTCACCAAATTTGGTAAAATCAACTATATAAAATCAAGAACAACATGTGAAAAGGGCATACAAGCTTTTTGTAAAGAAACCTTCTTATGCCCTTTTCTCGCCACCGTTGGTGTCATGACCAACGCAAACTACACAGCAAAAAAAATGTAATATCGATCAACGTTATTCAAGCTGATGTATGAAATAATGATGTAATAGCAAAAAGTAGATACAATATTACATCAATAGATGTAATTTTGTTCGTAAAATCGATGTACATCGTACAACGTAATATTACACAACCAGCTGAATAATCTCTGTGCTGCTGTTTGGATGTAATATTCAACAGCTTTCCCCTTTCCGACGATGTTGTTGGTTTGCGTGTGCGACCCTCGGTTGGCGAGAAAAGTGCCTACAAAGGTTTGTTTAGAAAAGGCTTGCATGCCCTTTTCACATGTGGCTTTTGAAACATCATCAACAATAGTTTTTATTTGATTTCATTGGTAAACATGGTTTATGTATAGTTGGAGATGCTTAACGTCAGATATCAGTCATTTTATACGATAGATGAGGAGATGAAAGTAAAGAGTTCTCGCGTCACTTTTCAAATAGACCAATGTAACATATCCACCATTTTGAGAAAATCGAAGTTGAAGTTCGACAGATTATTATTTTATTTATTTATAGAAAAAAAACCACATAGGTCGTTTTGACAAGTCAAGTTGTACATCGGACATGTTACATTGGACGAGTTTTCTCACTGACATAATCAATGAGTGTTACATTGGACGTTTTGTCTACATGATACTAGATTCCTTTTCACAGATTTCAGAGTAGAGTACCTTACTTTAGATTGGTCCCACCTTTGGAAAATGAGCACCAATCATGTTAGGCAGTCCGAATGACCGAAGTAACAATCATGTACCCATCATTTCAAACTGTACATTGGACAATTTTTGATCAATGATTATTTTAAATAAATGAAAGTAAATTTGGATGGATGTTTTTGTAACACGTTCAATGATAGAAGAGCAATCAATAGTTTGTATCGCTTAACTCGTTGTGTTAACAGAGTTGAAAATTGTATCCAGCATTATACGAGCGCTCATGGCCGCCACAATCTGGTTGAGTTTCTGTCATTGTTGATCGATTCTCTTAATCGATTGTCTCTTTCGCGAATAAGGCCGCGGCCAGAGTAGAGTAGAGTTCTACCGGTGGAAACTAACGATTTTAAATTGGCTCACTACTTGACCAGCCTATTGGTCCCAAGCAAATCGATTAACGTATCCCATTCTAGTCGAAATTCTAGTACTACACAATGTTTTTTTCTTTCCTTTATTTAACGTCGGTCTCTGTTCCGCAATCTATTGATGAATCTACGTTACGGTCGGCCAGCAGATGGAAATGATGTTAAAATGATAATGACGTTTTGCTAGCTGTCAAATCGTATGGAATATTTTTAGTACATCATCACTTTTGTGGTTTTGGATTTCAAACCTAGGTGTCGCGTGTACTGGTGCAGTTTCGCGTAGATTCATCAATTGGCGTCTTACAGTGAAACTTTTCCAAGTTTTCGCCACCTACATTTCGATGTGAGAACTACTAGAAGGAGGATAGTTTCCAAATTTTCCAAGTCAAACAGACGCTTTTTGGGGCAAATCGGTCCATAGTGAAAAACTCATAATTTCCCGTGGAAACTTTTACTTGAATCGTGTAAGAAAACGTGTTTGAAAACTATTTGTTATTATTTCGGTATGGATCGGAGATGTTTTCATGGAAAATTATGCATAACAAGTTTGCACCCACAGGGAGAGGTTACCTCCTGCGCAGCTGCATGTTTCAGAAAATGGTAAATATGTGCGATTTTCACTAAGATGAAAGTGGAAATTAAGTGAATTTACTTAGGAAAGGTTGTATAATGCTGATGGTAATACAGAATTGGTTGTATAGGACGCCAATATTCAATAAATGTTCATTTTGGCCTTTTTTAAGCAAACATATTGATACTCACAATTTTCGACGGAAAACGCACCGGAACTTGATTTACTCAACACGCACCATACTATAAAATGGTGCTAGATGGTCTTCAAAGTGATAACAAGATGACAAATCATCTTTATTTTGAGTAATTGAGCAATTTACTTCTGTTTACCATCATATTTACGATACAGCATTGATGGAGCTGTGAAATGAAATGAATATATCTTATGAAAGTTCACCTGGAAAAGTCAAAGATGCACATCAGTCTAATCGTAAAAACGTTTTCTTCTTCAATTCGAATATTATATTGGAAGGATCTCACGCAGGCTTGATGAAAATTATGATTTAATGCTAATTTTCACGAATTTTATATGCAGTCTGTCAACATTATCATCATCATGCAGTGGTGACATCTGCGTTGAGCTTTTACGGCAATCTTCCAATAACGCGCAGGCGAAGATAGCCGCGAGATACCCGCCACGTCAAATGGCAAATCAAAGTTAGCACTCGTGGAGAATAGAAGAACTATGAAAGCGATGATGGTTTCAAAATTTTCCACTGGGAGGTATACGAGTGCAATGTTAAAATGCTTTTATTTTGCAAATGGAGCATTTTATTTAAATCTGGTTGCTGCTACAGTTGTAGAAAAGCTGAAATCTATGGATACACCTAAGAATCTGAAAATAAATTATTATTTTTATATTATATGTCTAATGAGTAGTCCTCCAGTTTTCTACTAACGTAGCACTAACCAGATTTAAATAAAATGCTCCATTTTCAAAATAAAAGCATTTTAAGATTGCACTCGTATACCTCTCCGTGGAAAATTTTGAAACCATCATTAATTTCATAGTTCGTCTATTCTCCACGAGTGCCAACTTTGATTTGCCAAATGCATAGGAAAAATTTCCCGCGCAAAGTAAACAAGCATATTTCTTCTACTATAAAGCAGATGGCTCTAGTGTGCTCACTAGCTGCCATAGAGTCACTCAGAAGTAAACAGTACGTTTCCTGTCAAGTTCATATTGCATACATTTTTGGTATAAGGAATTGGTGAAGCTGTAATGTTAAGTGGCTGAAATTATAGCTGCGCTTGAATTTGCTATAACAGTGAGGTAGCCGCCGAATTTGGAATAATCATGAACCCAGACCCATCGGGGTGTTAGAAAGCAGTCACGCTTACCACTACACCACCGGCGCCGGCTACACAATGCTTGTTTTGATTCACTATGAATGTTTGATAGACAAAATTAGGGGTTCATGGATTTTCCTATGTTTCGAGGGGTGCATCGATTAGCTTGGGACCGAAGATAGTACCACAGCTGAGCCAAAAAGTTGAGCACGTTTCTGCGGGACCTACTAGTCTTAGAGTA